GAGTAGTGTGCGCACCTCCATATAAGCTCAGAGGATTCAAAGCGAGACTAAAAGGTTGTGCGATAGTTTAGTCAAAGGTGTTGGCGCGCTCTTACCACTTACATACAACTTGACTAGTGACTACCATATATTTAGAAAACAATGGTTGAAAATTCAATTGGACCATATTTAGTTCAATTACGTGAACAGTAAAGTGTTTTCAAAACAGTAAAGCCCTTATTGTATCTATCTATTATTCTTTATTGCATTTAACCCGAAGTATTTTCACTAAGTAAATTCTGGTCCGGGTTATGCAATACAACACAACGGGACCCTCTGTTTTTCGATATCCTAGTAACAATATAAATGATTTTTTATTATACGTTACCAATTAAAGTGAGGTCAAATCATTTAAATTATAAAATTATTAATATAATATTGCTTTGCAAGTCTATCTAAATGTAATAAGGAGCCGAGAATCGTGGGTAGATTGCATAACGGCGTTCAGTCTGGTGAATGTAAAGAATATTGCAATATTGCATTGTTGTCTAATTGATCCTTCCCCGACTTAGAACTCATTATGTTATTAAAAATAATTGTACAATAATTACAAATATTTTTTTAATGAATTAGATAAATGAATACACAGTTTCCCATGTTTTACTCATAAAATACTGCACAAATACATTAAAATGAAGGTATGGAAAAAATAATTGTAATTAGAAATCTTACTTCTTACTAACCTTACTAATATAAATACGAAAGTTTAGATGAATGGATGTTTGTTAGCGTTTGTAGCCTAAACGGCTGAACGGATCTCCACGAAATTTGGCACAGGTTTAGAGCATAGTCTGGAAGAACACATAGGCTACTTTTTATCCCGGGATAAATTATGGTTTCCGTGGGATTCATTAATTTAGTTTTTTAATGTTTACTCGATCATTCTCCAACGGTTTAACATATCTTATTGAAATTTGGCACAGATATAAAACAAAGTCTGGAGTACACATGGGATAAGCTTCATCCCCGAGAAATGTCCGCTTCCCGAGGGATACGTAGCTTTTTGTAATTTATATAGTTTGTATGTTTCCTAATACCACGCAGACGAAGTCGCGGGCAACAGCTCGTTAATAATATAAGCATATGTAAATAACATAATTTTAAAGTAATTAATAAGGTTCTTTATTATGTGCACTTTTGTTTCAAATAATTAATAATTATGTTCAACACTTTTCTTATTTCCGACTAATGTGCAAGGACCATTACTTGCTTAACATAAAGCTTGCAGTAAATGTTGGTGCATGTCGACCAAATTACAGCATTAACCGCGTAACAAATTGCAAATATGAAACATAATGAAAAGTCGTGAATTACGTGCGGTTTTATTTTGTAACTTTGTTTGTGTTGTTTTGATGATACAACTAAAACATTTTAAAAATAACTCTTATGACAATGTTCCTTTCGAAAATCATACTAATATTATAAATGCGAAAGTTTAAATGGATAGATGTTTGTTAGAGTTTGTAGACTAAATGGCTCAACGAATTTCAATTAAATTTAGTGTAGTAGAGGGTAGAGTAGAAGAACACACAAGCTACTCACTTTTGTTTTTTTTTTAATTCCACGCGGACAGAGTCGCGGGCGAAAACTAGTAAGTCATAAGTTAATCACGTACTCCGGTTTTAGCATTACCGTGCCCTAGGCGATATTTCTAAGGTTTCTAAGTAAAATTCAATAAATATTCATCTAATATAAATATTGTAAATCGTTAAGAAATTCGCATCAGTCTTAAATCGGAACGTAATAATGTCGAAATATATCATTAAGATTTTTTTTATATTAAATACGAATTCACGATTCGAATCCTCAATTTAAAATTTAATTTGCTAATACATTTGTAAATTAGTCAAAGAGTAATTTTTTTAATAAAGTTAAAAAGATGTTAATGGCATAACAATAATTGGTACTCTTAGATCCTATTATATAGTTATCTCACTTTTTTCAAGTTAAATGACAGAGATGACAATTGTCTGTGCACGAGATTTCGGTAATAAAAACTCTTAATCTATGACAAGTATTTAGGTATATTACGCGCGTCGAACGGACCCTTCTTCAATGATCCACTGCGCTCGTTGGAGTTCAAAGCACCTGCAATGCAAGGACGTGACTAGACACTACCAAACTAACATCATTTAATGACCATTAAATTCTACGTCTGACTGTACACTTGTGTACAAAAGTTTTCAACATTAGTACAATTGAGTACAAAATTTAAACAAGCACTTATTTATAAAACAAAAAAGCGGCTGAAAGTGCTAAAGTACGAACTCAATCGCATTTGCAAAATGCTAAGCCCTTACATAAATAAAAATAAATTTAAGACAATCTACATATTTTAATATTTAATACCACTTCAGTGGAAACCTAATTGCTTATATTTTAGTATGTATAGAGACCAGCGTAGGCTCGAGTGGTCATTTGCATTGTAGGTCTATGGTTCGATTCCCGAGTGAAAGCGAACCGATGTAGGTTAATGGTACAATCAAATTTGCAAACGATTCTTATAAAGGTTTCTCAATAATTTCAGAAGATTGGATTATAACTTTATTTTAAAAAGTAGGGTCATAGATATTAATCAAAAAGTCACAGAAGGGAGGCATTTCACTATATCTTACTCATGTTATAAATGCGAAAGTTTAAATGGATGTTTGTTAGAGTTTGTAGCCTAAACAGCTGAACAGATCTAGACGAAAATAAGCATCGATGTAGAGGATAGTCTGGAAGGACACATAGGGTACTTGCTTTTGTTTTTTTAAAATTCCAAGCGGACGGAGTCGCGGACGGAGTCGCGGACGAGAGCGTATTTCAACTATAAATGCGAAAGCTTATATTGATGTTTATTACAGTTTGTAGCCTAAATTGCTGAAAGGATCTGAATGAAATTTGGCATAGACGTAGAGAAAAATCTGGAAGAAAACATAGACTACTAACTTTTGTTTCTTAATTCCACTCGGTCGGAGTCGCAGGCGAAAGCTAGTTCATCATAAAATGCGATTTCGACATAGTAGAGAATTCTTTGTTCTCAGAATTACAGATTACATTGCAAGTAATATTATGTGGAGTAAGGACAATCTCGTTACTTCTCCGCACAGAATTGATTGTTTGTAAAGTATTGTGTAGGGTGACGATGAACATACCGTTAAATAAGATATTCTTTTATTAATTCAACATGTACTTAATTGAAATTTAATGTTATACATTTACATATAAAATTGTAGTTGTGCAAAAGTTTTAGTAGTACTTGGTTTTTTTAATATTTTATTTGGTGAAACCTTAAAAAAGAAAGGCCTATCTTTTTATTATTTTCTGACAACACTAACTCGACAATTTAAGTAATCTTGCATATGAAATTGTGTTATAGACAATAATTATTAAAGTATTCATTTACCTTAAAGGCATTAATTTTTTTCAGTTACTTTTGTGTTTCTTGTTCCAGCTTGGTCACCCTACGTACGTCTCATACAATTAAGCGATTTTGTTTAAGACCGCATTAGGCTCCTATCATTTGAGATCTCTTTCGAAATTATATCTCAAATAATCCTTGACATAATTTTTATAACTCAGTTGATGCTTTGATTTTTAATATATCGGAAACGTTATTGCAAAAGCAGTTATGATATCCGATCCAAATTAGTTGCTAATTCGATGTATCTAATTATCCATTTTAGATTTTATAAATACTGTTACTGTATACTTTTTTTATATCATAAGGTGGCAAATGTGCATCTGGCCACCTGAATCCGCCAAACTGGCGAAGTAATCGCTGACCATAGAGATTCTCAAATCGAATGCGTTGCCTACCCTTAAGCGACAGAGGAGACGCACATAAGAGGATTTTTCCCCTTACTATGCGTCTTCTCCACCATCAAATCTACATTCCCTTCTCATCCTCTTCTTATAAGAAAAAGGGTGGAACGGCAAAAGGGACTACAGTTGGGCCTCCGGCACCACACTCATCAGACAAAACGTGGAATTTCTCCCACTTTACGCCTGTCTTTTGTGTGGTCGTGGTATTACACCGGGTGAGCCGACCCATTCGTACGAAGATGTTAAAGCGGGCCCTACCACTGTACACTTGTTTTGACTATCAAGTTAATACTATATAGACTACCAGATGTTTCTTATAACTTCGGCCGCGTGGAAGTAAAAAAATAAATATAACCTGTTAGTGATAACGCAACTTTTTAATGGAGAATTTTCATTCCAATACATACAAAAATATACATAACTACATATCTTTGTTCTTTATAATATTGGTATAGATATAGATAAAGATTTGAGTTTTTATAAAATCAATTAACTATATGAAAATCAGTAAAAAAAACATATTATTTCTTTATTCACGCGAAGTTATTGATTTACTTGTATGAACTATGTAAAATATATATTTGTGATAACAAAATTGAAGGTCTACTTCGAAATTTTACTTATAGATAAGCAGTAAGTTGTCAAGAGCTTTACATGGATCAGTTGACCTCGCAGTTACAAAAGCCAGCGTAATTTTAAAGATTAATTAAAACATTTAATTATTCTCACCAATAATTTACATAATTTGAGGTTATGAAATATCGCAATCATTATCTCCTAGTTGCATTATCCCAAAGGCAAATGAATAGCTAGCGCGTACCATCTTTCGACTGCATCGTCACCTCCTTCAGGTGGGATCGTGGTCAAGCGCTAGCTTAACAAATAATAAAAAAAGTATGTTTTATGTGATTTTAACACAAGTTAAAACTACGTTAAGGTTTTCCTTAAATCTCTGTAAAAATAATTCAAATACAATTAACCCCCCACTATAACCACAGCCAAACGACCTTATCCTATTTCTTTTACTTAAAAAAATACTTTCAAACATTCTCTCATCGGTACGGTCATAATGCACTTGTGTCTTTTTTCGACTTTACATAATCGACTAATGTGAAGGTTGGTGACTTTCTTTGGCGGGGAGGCTGAACGGACGAAGCCTTCGCCTCAGTTGTGAGGAACGCGCGCTCGCCCGCGCCTGTGCTTTGTGGTTCAACTTTTTTTTATTCACATCCTGTGCAGTGTTCGGATACAATGAGGCTAATCTTTTGGGTGAGTTTGACGTTTGTTTTTTTAACTGTGCTGTGCTCTAACGAGTTCTGTTTTGGTGCGGCTTTGAACAGACGAGTCCACTTTCTTTAGTGAAAGTCGAGTGATCATCGATTTATTGGACGAGGGCTTTATTTTTACGATTGCTCTGATATCAATTGACACAAAATCTTAGTGTCATTTTATTTTTGGATAATAATTTAAATGAACAATTATTTACGGCCAGTAAGTAAATTTTAAAAGCGTGTATAGCATAGTTAAAATGCAAATTAACTTTCAAAAATTTTTGTGAGAAATGTTTGTAAAAACTCTCAAATCTTGATTAGAAAATTATCTCTGAATGAAAAAATTAAATGTTAGATAGATCCAGCATGATAAATATGTATGACTGTAATTGTATGTATATGCGTTTGAGGGCTTGTTATTGAAGCCTTCGTGATTAAAAAAAATATATACGTTACGCCGTGTAATTTAATTTTGGAAACCACTCAATTATTTTGAATTAATTAAAAAGTAATTTGTTTTTTTTTTATATTCTTTGAACGAATTTAAAAAGCAACTATCGTATAACAAAATAATCGTGTAGACCTTTCAGTGTTGCATAAATAACTTAAAATTTCAAGGAAGTGTGTCAGCCGGTGACGATGCGGTGAGGGCACGGTGACGACGCGATGTGAAATTCACGTCCGGAACTCGACTCAACAACTCTTGTCAAGCGGTCAGTTTTCTCTTGTCGAGTATCCGTATTTAAAAAAATCAAGGTACACATTCGTAGTATAGAATTTACGATTGCTGGTTTAGGAAAGGTCACTAATGTCAATTTTTAGGTAAAACGATGACTGTAGCCTAAACCACTTCATCGATTTTTGATTCGGAGTCATTTAAAGTTTTCTTCTCTAGAATGTCATAGATAAAGACTTAAATGAAGTAGTCACTTCATTCATTTTATTTTTTGAACGATGTCTAACTGATAACACTCTATGGAAATATTATAACCTCATAAGCCTATGCAGTCTTAACCCGTTCTTAATATACAATAGTTTCTTTCCTACTGACAATAATTTATTATCACATTCATTTTCACTATAACAATCTAAAACACACAAAAAATAAAACAATAGCAAATTTATCTCCACGAAGCGCCTGTGAACGCGTTCATGACGAAAAAAAAATATGTTAAACCTCCTTCCGGCTTTTACCTCTTTATGCAACAGACGGACCGAAATGTAAATTTAATGTTGCCGTTTACATAAATAATAAATAGTAGGTCTCTTGGGTATGTCGTAACTGGGCTCAGTCGAGGCGAATTATACGTAATAAATAGAAGATGAGAGTTGCCAGATTATATTCTTTGCAAAATACATTAGACGTTATATAACGTTGTTATTCTGTACGCAATAGCAAATTGTTCATAATTTGCAATAAAGCTTTCAACGACAGCGTTAGAGTAGGGCGCGGATGGGAGACTGCCCAGGGCGCTTGACAAACAGGGGCGCCACAGATTTGCACTTAACTTGCCCTTTGTCATAGTAAAAATGAGGACGCCGTAAAAATTTCGCTCTGGGCGCTAATAGTAGGGCGTTCTATTAGACCTAAATGACGGACGTTAAATCTATCTAAAGAAAAAAAAACCTTGTGCACAGACTACGTGAGGGATAAGGACAGGGAGTTGTTGATTCGGTTGATTCTTATGTACCAAAAGTGATTATGATAGTCTAATAGAGATGAACGAAGGACAAAAGTGAAGATATTTACTTACATGCTAAAAATTTTTATAAAATTTCGTCTATCAAAGGAATGCAATAAAAAAACTTTCTTTGTAATAAACAATAGTATTCGAGTGTAAAAAAGTGGCACAATTTTTATCAATCGAGTCACGCACCTGTCTATTTCCCCCTCTCAGAGGTATCGAAGTAGATAAAAAATACTCTTTGATCGACTCAATAGTTCAAGAGGTCATTGATATCGGAGTCAATGCGACAATACTTTATCGTAAAAACCGTGCCTAAAAAGTGAAGACGTGACATCCGGCATTAAGTCCATCAATAAAGGACCACCAACAAAGAATGTATCGAGTTTCTCATTTGGTTCGGTACACTTTTAATAAAAAAAATTTTTCGAGATATATTTCTAGAATTTCTACTATACATACTTAAGACTTACGAATTGTACATTTGATTAATTAAATAAATAATTTCTTACTTAAAATATTAAATTAATCAAGGCTATTTGTTTAAAAGAAATAGTAAAACAAAGTTTTACTTTTAAAAGCTATCTGCTAGACGCTTTATTTTATAATCTGTACTTCACAACTTCCATAATCATCGTATATTTTTTTCATAAAATAGCCTACGGGCTCAGTCGCACGCTCGACCGCGTCCCAGCCTTGACTTTGACGCGTCAATAAACACAGTCTATTACGTTTAATTGAATAAAAAAAATATTCTAACCTTATCGTTTTCCAGCGATGCTATCTAGATGTCTTCGCAGTCGATTGTGTATTTTATTGCAATGATTTAAGGAAGGTTTTCTAATAGATTCTACGTATAGACTGTTGTTTTAGGAGCAATACCTTACAAGGCACTCTTAAATGCCTTATTTATTTGTAGGAAAATGCATGTTATTTTTGCAAATTTGTCAAACACACATATTTATTGTACTGTATTACTACGATTATTATTATTATTAGCTTGAGAGTTTTTTACTTTTTGCTTAATTTTTTTAAATTTAATTTGCAGTTTTCTACACCAATTGACTTAATAATATCACTTCACGTGTTTCCCAATTATTTTATTGCACAATACGTGATATAACAGCACTAATTACATATCAAATCAACGGCCGCACGTCGAAGTGTAAATTCACTCTTCAATTTTATTTAGCACGTCGGTGTGAGATTTGGAGAGTCGTGGAGTAAATGCGTGGAGTCGCTATCATGATATTTTAATTTTAAAATAATAATTAATACACTAATTTATAAATACATTTAATATAATAGAATTCTAGTTTAGTTAGCAGTGTGGATACATCAACCCAAAGAAATTACAATTTAACATATTTAAATGTAATAAATATTTAATTGAAAATAATCACATTACTTTGCCACTTTTATTGTCCAATAGTAATAAATATGTAATAATCAATTAATAGCTTGATATCTACTCCATGCCATTTCACCACACGACCTTCCTAGAAAGTCTAAACGGTTGGGTAAAAGTATTTGACACATACGTAATAAAAGTTAACAATTGAAGAGGTATTTTGAACCCTAAAGCCTACGTATTACATGATAAAATGGGCGTTCACACTTTTACTTTTTTTTTTACATCATCTTCAGACGATACATTCGTTTTCGTTGTGCCTCATTTTTTGTAAGATTTATTTGCTGCAAATCAACTTGTAGCAGTTAAGGTTTTGGTAAAGCATTTTTACCGACTTTAAATTATTGAATACTAATCTTTACCTTTACCATACTTAGGGACGTTTAAAGACAACTTTGTAAGCCCAAAAGAGTGAATTTAGTAAAAGAAAATAGAATTAGAGACTGCCTAAGTAACATCAGGTTAAAACTAACTATACAATTCGTCTGCAATAACAATATGTATTTCAATATCTACGACTATATTTTTAAGAGAGTGAAGTAACTAAAATGTATTAAAACAAGTCATACCACAGTCGAAACCCGCACTTATAACACCATTCAATGACGTCAAATATTACGTCACAAACGTAAAAGTCACGTCACTTATGTAATTCGAATTTCAAATTCCAATTTGTAATCTAATTAGGAGCGGGCCTTTGACTAATTTATCGCACACTGATAGTGCGATTGTCGATTGTTTTGTAGGCAATTCAACTTATTAGTTGAAGAACTAAAAATCGAGTATGCGCACCTCTATACAAGCTCATAGAAATCGCTCGCGACTAAACAGTTGTTAGATAGTTTAGTCAAAGATGTGCGCACCCTCTAAAAAAGTTCAAAATAAAGTATCAAGATTACCCAAAGAGCCCAAGAACCTCTTTAAATTCCATGACATTGAACCCTTAATAAGAGAAAGTAGAAACAAATGACATCATGTCTTAGTATAAATGTCTTTGGCCCTTAAGTTGATAGTAACTTAAGTATTCACTTTATGAGACTAGAAAGTGCCACAAACAGATAAGTCTGTTAACACGTTAAGTAAAATTAATCGTAGCTATAAACATTTACGAATATGACCGATATAAAAATTGTGTATAGGCTTAAGATGGCGTATGTTATCAGATAAGTAAAAAATCTTTCAATCATTTTTACAGCGGGTAATTACCCAATAATAAATACGTCAAACTTGTATCTCAATTGCGAATTTATTAGTTTAATTCCTATCTTGTTTGTTTTAATTGATTCGACATAGCTGGCGGGTTTTGTACGGCAGCATTCCCACAATAGTCGAGGGAACGCGCAGTGAAATTACTGTCTCAGATTCGATCGCACGACGTCCGATCTTGTTAGAAACCTAATACTTTAATGCGATATCCTGTTCTAGCAATGCACCGGGCGTGTTTTGAATAAATTATTAACATAAATCACTCTTTAAAATAACACCAATTTCTCTTGGTGTTAAAAAATTTACAAAGCGCACATATTAGAGAAACTAATAATTAAATAAAAAAAAATATATGACTATTAAACCTCAAACTCATTACCTAATTATATTCCTTCTGTGTAAAACAAATAAACGACATTCTCTACATTTTTTTATAGTAGATGGAGACAGTCGAGCAAACGGCTGCGAGCGATGAAAAATAGAAACGAATCGAGAACCTCGCTCTGTTAGGGTAATAAATAGCCAAATATAATAAATGCTGCTTCTTCTGTAAATACAAAAGGGTTGCAGATTGCAGAAATTATTCCACCTTCCCATACATTCCAAATACTTAGTATGGGCGTCACAGCCATGTTATGCTTTAATAAAATATAGTCTTCATTACCTCTTATGTTTTCTTCCAATTTGCACAGAATA